TATATATATATATATATACAGGAGCCTGATACACCGTGAAGCTCTGGAGGTTGGTGACGCTGCAGGTGACCTGTAGGTCAGCCGCAGCTCTGCGCTTGCTGCGCTTGGTGAACGACTTCAGAGGACTTCGGGGCTTCAAGTCTGGGCTCGCAGGCATTCTCGCGGAAGGGCAGGTAGCATTCCGTCAGGTCCATCCACTCCGTTGCCAGCCTTGAACAAAGTTCCCAAAAGGCAGCTGGCGCTCCCGGATGATTTCTGCCAAACACCAAAAGACGCTCCTCTTTTCCTGCATTCTTCTGTCTGCAGAGGCCTACATGAGTCTGCCCTTTGCTCGGTGGGAATTCGGTGAGCAAAGCGCTTCAACAACTCCATCGGAAAATCTGGCCATTAACGCTGCGAGCTGGAGCCTCTGTGTGGCGCCAGAGCTTCAAAGTTAAAGTCTTTAGAACTTTAGAGCTTGGATGCTGGGACCAAGCACTCAACTGCGGCTTTGGCAACAGCTGCATCCTCGTTGGGCTTCACTCCCGAAACACCGCAAGCTCCAATGATCCGACCATGGCTCGGGTCTATGATGGGCACTCCACCTTCCATGAGGACACGGCCGGACGTGAGGAGCGCCGCACGCTCTCCGCCATTGGACTTCTCTCCGTTCACAGCCCCTTCCAACAGCTTCGTCTCCTGGGGGGTGCTAGCTACACTACACATCAACCTACTAGTAGAACGGAAAAGCCATGCTTAGTGGCCTAATGAGGCGAAGGAACCCGGGCAAAGAGGATCGCGGATCGAGCTTTTTCCGTGGCGATCTCGGCACCAATCGGCATGCAGCCATCCATGCGATGCAGCGCAATCAGGTTTCCACCAGCATCGCAGATTGCGACAGCGACTTTCCAACCTCTGGGAGTTCTGACAAGGTCTGGTCTGACACAGGATGGAAGCATGCCGTCAGGGACGGACAACATGAGGCCCGCCTGACTTTTCTGCTGCAGCTATTCCGGCACGCACCGCCTGCTCGGCACCAGCCAGCGTCACCGCCGAGCTGGGAACGATCGACATGGCTGCACGAGGCTGGGCTGTGGATTTCGGATCCTCACAAGCTTGTACTGCGGCCGCGCGAGGACTTCTCTCTAGGCTACAGTGTGTAAGATCAAGAAAGCAAGAGCATAAGACGAAGCATGTTCGAGGCTCTGACGGGCCGGCATCTCCTTGTAGAATTTGCACCTGCTCAACTTCAGATTTGGGGAGATTGCTTAACCTTGTGGTATCTGATCTACGCCCATGTGGCGAGGCACCTCCCAAGAAGACCACGTGCAGTCCAAGCCAAGACCCGGCTCGAAGGTGAAAGTCCTCAGAGACGCACACCAGACCACACTGCACAGGAGCTCTGACAAAGATGCCCTGAGGCCTGAGGGTCCGGGCATGTTGTACGCAGTAAGCTCCACGGCCGTGAAATTGCTCGGGATCTGCGCGGGCTCTGGCCACGTCAAGACGAAGTCGGGCCTCGAGCTGCCAATACTTGCAGGCCACAGAGAGCTAGTGGCTGGCGCCCCATTGGGCTAAGTTCGAAAGGCCGCGGCCACTCGACCCAAGGACTGTCTGCCATCGGGTCGGTGCAGCTCTCCTTCATCCGCACCTTGCAGCTGGCAATGGCTGCATTGAAGACGAAGACGGCGAGCCACCATGTGGACACCGAGCCCCATGCCGTGTAGTAACTCTGGCTAGCAGGGAAGCCAGAAACGGAGCAAGTCGTCGTGCTGCGAGGTGTGCAATCATCATATGGCCTTAGAGAAAGATGGTGACCCGCTGCCTTCCGCATTGCAGAAACTTCATTGCTGTGTCCCCGACAGCCAATAGTCCCACCCCTGCATCTTCCACTCCATCTTGTAGGCCTGCTACGAGACGAGACGACAAGCCACGACCCCGAAAGCGAGCATGTGGCGTGATGTCGCCTCGAACACACACTGGCCAGCTGCCCGCTGTGAGATCCTCACTCCCTGAGCAAGAGGTGGATGGAAAGAAAGCCTTCTGCCTTACACTTGTGCACCATATCTCAAAAGTATGTGCATGCATGTGTGTCCAGGTTATACTGTACGTATTTCACGTATGTACGAATGTATGCATGTACGTATATGTGTACCTGCGTATGTACCTATGTAGGTACCTATGAATGCATGGATGGATAGATGGATGGATAGATGGATGGATAGATGGATGGATAGATGGATGGATGGATGGACGGACGGAGGGATGGATGGATGGATAGACGGACAGAGGGATGGACGGATGGATGGATGGATGG